ATTTGATAGAGAATTAAAAAATGAACATTTTTTGTATTTAAAGTATTTCAAAAATTTTAATAGTTTTCCGGATACACGCAGTATTATTTCATATGGCGCTTTCAATGGTAAAATACGAGAAGCAAAATCATTGACACCGTATGAAATACAAAACCGGGAATATCTGCGAAATTGTTAAAAATTTTGAAATACTCTAAATGCAAAAAATGTTCATTTTTTAATTCTCCATCTATTGAAAAAATAATATACAGGGTGTTCCATTTAAAAAAACCAAAGAAAAATTATTTTATATTTTAGAAAGTTTGGCGTAGAATTTTGAACATCCTATATGATTTACGATTTCCACATTTATAGCAAAGTAAGTACAGACCATCTAAAGTAAATATCTAATATAGTTTTGATATCAGGACAGTTCTTGTATTATTAATTATTTTTTTAAGAAAGGCTAAAAAATATATAATTTTGATTTATTTATTAATATCTCTGAAATTATCGAAATATATTTATTCATGTCTTAGGATTATGTAAAGTGATCTAACAGGAAGCCAAAAGTGCAATAATATACAGGGTGTTCCATTTTAAAAAAATCATGCACTCTCACTTTTTTGAGCCACCCTATAGAAGTTAAAATATTTTCCTGAAATACATCCTAGTACATACTTTAGGTTTGCACTTAAACAAAATTTCCAAGTTTTTTATTCTAGGAGCTACAGATGCCCGACGCACTATTGCCGGACCCTGTATATATTATTACTATATTAATCATAAATTTTTCTGCGGAAAACTGCTTTGATAAAACAATTTCTGTTAAACTTTTGACACAAAAACATTTCAAATTTATGATTTCAATCTAATAACTATTAATTTAGTCAACATGTTTAATTTATGTCAATGATGACAGGGATTGATAATTTCGATTTCAAATATTTTGAGGTAGCGATTTTTACCAAGAGACCTTTTTTACATAAAAATCGTCGTAAATGTATATTTTTTTACTCAGTATATAGTTTCATACAGGTACGGTCGAAAAGGTTATTATACTCTCCAAAACAGTTAAAACACGTGTAGATGGCGCCCTTTAAAAATAGGGGTTATATTGACATCAAAATCAAATTTCTCAAATCAAAAAATTTCCAGACACCAATTTACATCCAAATATTGACGTTACTTCAAAAATTATTTGGAAAAAATCGAAATAAATATGAAACTTCTACACTCTGTATCTCCGAAACTAAGCATTTTGGGACATATATTTATACGATTTTTTATACGTATTTTTATATGCAGAATATGCTGCTGAAGTTTTCGGAATACAGTTCAGACCACACTGTATATTATTATTACTTAATTATTTAATGGGGCCAATGTAAGTGCTTCTCGCAATAAGAACATCGGCATCTTCTTCGGCTTGATGTGATACAATTTTTTTCTTTTCTGCAAAACAGCACCTCAGTATGTACGATATTGCAGCAAATTACTTTCTTTGCATTCTTGTCGATCTTCTTTCTATGCCCTTGGTGCTTCCACAATCTTCTCGAGAGTAGCCATCAAAAATGATAAGAGCAAAAGAGAATAGGAACTAAACTCGAAACGGAAAAATTAATTATCTAAATGTTTCACGATGACAATTCTTTGGAAAAGTCTGGTTGGATTGTAATTATAGTTGTTTTCTATCTATACAGAGTCGTTTATTATTGCAAGATGTTTTACATTTTTACTTTATATTGATAATTTAAGAATTACAATCCATAATGGTTTCTGTACTTTTCATACATAATATCTCTTTTTACAAATGACAGTGGATTCTTTCATGTGCAACTATTACCTGTACTTATATTCACACATAATAAAAATTAATTTAAAAAAAGCTTATTTTCAAGTGCTTTTATCGATTGGAATGAAATATAGGGGGTAAAAGTTACTATAAGTGTTACATATTTTAATACTAAAAAAGTATCGGCATATTATCACTGGAATATTTTTCTAAAAAAACATGTGCGCCGCTGACTTTTTTTCTCTTGCTAGCAAAATTGTGTAGTATTGGAAGAAAATTAAAATAAACTGAAAAAAAAAAAGACTTTAACCCTCTGGAGTTGCGGAACAAAGCAGAATCGGACCCTATGTTGATAAGTATGAAAAATAAATCATATTTTTACGTGACCAAACCTCCCCACGCACATGTTTTTAAAAGACCCTGCAATATTTTGATAATATGGCAAGATATGTAGAAGATTAAATTTACAAGAAAGGAAACTCAGAAAAGCTCCAATGCGTGGACATCAAAATTTAAGCAAAAAACCTTTTTCAAAGTAAAATAACTCGGTTATTGTGACTTATTTGTGAAACGATAAAGAGAAAATATGTTTCTTTTATCGAGATCTACTAGCCCTGAGAATAGTTGCACTTATTTAAGACTCACACTGTATATCTTTTTATTTTGACTAATTTAGATCAATGAGTCAGACACAACCTGATCAATGTTGCGTAGGTCTTTCTTCGAAAAATTCAACTCATTATGACATTCCAAAAACAGAAAATCGCATGTTACTGGCTATATAATATGAACAGTCATCCTTTTAATAATTAAATATAATAATCCGATTTTAATTTAAATGTTTTTATCTTAGTTCTACTTAGTTGGTTAATCACTCGTGTATTTTGATGATATTTTGGTTTAATTCTATTGTTTATTAAGCCTTATCAAACAAAGTATCTGCAAATGCATCTTGAGAATCATCTGCTTCCGATTACAAGAAAAAGTTTCAAGTTTATTGTTGACAAGATATGAGATATGAGTAATTTACATCAGAGAAATAAGTAAACATAGAGCCAAACACCTGAACATACTCTTTACTATTTTTAAAATAAATTGATAATAACCTAGTTATTAGAGTGCTAGTGGCAAAATACTAATAGGACTTTTTTTAAGAAATAATCCAGTTATTTAACTTTGAAAATTTAAAAAAATAATAGCAACAGTTTGAGAACCGCCGGTAGCAATCAATAATCAGCCGCAAATACCAAGCAATTACCAGAATCTCAGCTTGTTCGACGCCCAGTGTTGACACATCGACTAAGATGATTTAAAAACGAATTTAGATTAAAAGTAAAAACTTACCTAACATTAGAAAACGGGAATCCGATAGATAACAGATCGATGCAATTAGGTTAAAGTGTCGTTTTATCACATTACCTAAAACCGCCACTGAAGACTTAACAACATTTCATTTATTTTACTGCGATTCTTGACAGCACTATACTTACCCATAAACCTAAAATAGGGAAGAATTAACATGTAACCTGAAAAGTTATGTCAAATCATTGAGTTTGACAATTGAAAAGTTATTTTCACATTTATTATACGTCATCAGTTTGACGAATTGAAATTGGCGCGCGGAGCGTGCCGACTAATGGTGTCCATATCACCTGTGACGTAGTGATCAACCTGAGCAATATCATACCTTGTTTTCTTTGTATCATGATATTTACCTACATGTGTATTTGGCACAAAATACATTCATATGTGATCTGAATTATTTAGGATTATTTTTTGAGAATAAATATTAAAACTCTTTTCTATCTCACACTATTGAAAATAAACAGCAAAATAATTGATATTTCTATTTGAATAATAAAAGTATTTTTATAGGTTTACCATACATTTACCTTTTTTTAGTTTTGTCAGAGATTTACTGTTTTGTGTAAAATCTCAAATGAATTGAATAACCTAAAAATGCCATTAGCTGATCTGTTTAAATGTAGGTAAAACGTTGACTATTTACATATCTAATAGATGGCGCTGATTCTAAACTGTTGAAAAGCTGCTATAATTGTTTATTATTTAGTTCTATTATTTCAGTTTACTAAACTGTAAAAAAAGGTATTTAAAATAAGTAGACGTTGCACTATACTTAATAGTAATCTACAATGATTAAAAAATCTACAGTAAATAAAATTAATTATTAAGTATATATATTTTTGTAGAAATTTAAAAATATATAAAACTTTTATAACTTATAAACATACAGAATGTGAATAACGTAGAAGGTGGCAACATTGCATTGCATTCGAAGCACTAGAAACACATTGCCGGAAGCTGAACAGCGGCACTCAAAAGTTTCTCAATATCTTCTGGAAAATGTCAAGAAAAATATAAAAAATTTCAACATTTTTTTCCGCAAAAAAAACTCATGGGCGTGTTTCCGGTGATACCACCAGTTAAAATACTTGCACTTATGTACACCTGGGACAACCTGTAGAAATAAAATAGGTTATTACATTTAAATATTTGTCTTGGAAAATACTTTTAAAAAGAAATGGGTTTTAAAATTATACAGGTTGTTAATTTGGTTATTACTCGCGGCAAGAGCTTTATGGTTGAAATATAGCAACCTCGGCCCGCTCGTCGACAGGCGACGCAACAGGACAAGTTGGCAGAAAACCCTATAAGCACAGATTATACAGATTATAAACTTATCGTCAAAAGCATTGTTTTTCGTGGTTCCAATTTTTGTTGGACTAGTTTTGCGCACAAGCACGCCCACTTATGGCCTCTAAAATTGTGCACAGCGCCTGACCGGCCTTGTGACCGGCCCAGTTATTACGCTGTTTAAGCGGGAGTGTATTTTTGCGCACAAGAAAATTTACTCGTTTGGTCATCGTCATAAAAAACAATTTTCGTATCACGAATTATGGACAAGATTTTTATCTGTATACTTATAGGATACCTAATCTGTGCTACAAGTGCATGCGTTCTCAATAGGCAGTGTTGCCATTCTGTTCCCCTATAAGTAACTGTCCAGTTAACAACCTGTTTGTTCATTGCCGTAGAACTCACTTATAACTATCTTATCGTTCAAAATGCTTATTTCCTACTAGATTACTGCGCCCTACGCCACTGCCAAGAAAAACATTTAACTCATTATCTATTTTGAATAAAATCTGTTATAACGAATGACCTAATCTTATCATAGTTAATTTTCACTAATTTATATTTAAACTACCTATTCTACAGAAATTATCATTATTGTTAAGGTGCTAATTTAGAACGAACAACAGGCGATGTTGTGTTTCGTAGTTTTCTCAGTTTTAAGTGCGGTACTGCTAGGTTACGCTTACTCCAAATGGAGGTACTCGTATTGGAAAAGAAAGGGTGTACCCCAATTAGATCCTTCGTTGCCCTTCGGTGATACTAATCCTGATAAATCTTTAGCCGAGACTTACTATGACTTCTATCAACAATTTAGAATGAAAGATGAAAAGTTTGGAGGGGTATACACGATGCTGAATCCAGTTTTTGTGCCGGTTGATCCCGATCTGGTTAAACAGATTATACTGAGAGATTTCGATCATTTTACAGCCCACTTTCCGAAGTTCAACAACCCGACTATTTTTATGAGGAGTCTATTTCATTTGCAAGGTAAAGACAATAAGAAATTCTTACATGGTAATTTTTAAAAACACTATAGCCCAGTCAAATTAGAGAAATCGGTGGAAAAAAATTCAACAGTTTTGAAAATGGTTTTAAATGATTTCTCTAGACTTGGGCTGTAAAGCTTCATTCAGAACCTCGAAATCAGTGGAATAAATTAGTAGTTTCAATTAGCCGTAGAAGTTAGTTCACTTAATTTTAATGTAAGCATTCAGAACGTCATAATTAGTGGTAGTAATTTTCAGTTATTGCAAAAAGTTAACAAACTTTTAACTTTTTCACTAATTATACTTTAAAATTTGCGAGGAATGTCATTTTGCCCTTTGATTATCACCCATCAAGAAAAAATTTGGTTAGAAATCAAAAGTTTATTGTTTTATAAGCTAAATAATATACTTTCTCTATGGGTACAACAGACTACCGCAAGCTGTTGCTATGATATTTTATTAATTTTAATTGTGTTTTTTAGACATTGTGAATGATCGTAAACTAAAAAGTATAAAGTAATTGAAACCACTAATTTATTCCAGTAATTGGGAGCTTCTGAATGAAGCTTTGTGTGTCAAAAGTCCTCGAAGATAGACGATAAGCTCGAGGAGAGGGGAGGGGTTAAATGTCACTTTTATGACATTTTGGCTTATATCTCGAAAAATATGACACCTACGAAAAGATACCCTATACAGAAAATTGAAGCTCTGAAAATTGAACCTCAGAAAATTTTCAACAAAATTGGTTGAATGCATTTTTTCATAGGTCTAACCTTTTAAGAGTTACAGCCGTTACAGGGTTGACAAAATTAACACTATTTCTCGTTGTATTTTCACATTTAAAATCCAATTAAAGTCTAAATTTAACGAAAACCAAGAATCATGGTTTATGGTCCATGATTGCTCAGAGTTGAATATTCATATCCTCGCCTGCAGTAGATTTTTCTAATGTTAAAGTAGCACGAAGCATTTGAACCATTAGCATTTGAGGTCCTGTTCCCTGAGGTTGCATATTGCGATGATATTCTACATGATTTCTTTCTATAGGTACTGTTACAGTAAGTGTAATATTAACGTATCTGCACTAGCCAATCCATTTCGCCAATATGTATAGTATCAGTCTTCCCTCGCAGAATTTCAAAGAGTTTTAAAAGCGCATATAAAAGTGTGATTTCTGAATCTTCTCAACCTACAATAATTGAATACAATAATTATTATATCCACATAGATAACATGAGTCTCCATACTTTAAAACTATCTATAATATTCCACATTATACGTTTTAGACAAGTAATTTGTATTCAATAAAAAAAAGTGATTTTAATTTACTATTAATTTATAATGCATGTATCGCTTACTTTTTTAATTTAATAGGTGTTTCAAATTCTTTTTTAATTTTGTGCAATATCGTATAATATACTAGCGTGTACCAGCGACTTCATTCGCCTCGAATTAAAAGAATTACCATTAACATACAAACTGGATAAAGTTTTCTCACATTTATGTCAGCATGGGAAAAAACAATATGGCGATATTATTATATAACTTGGTAATATTTGAGGGGTAGTTTCATCTCGTTGGAATTTGACTTTCGAAAAATCCGTTTGCCAAAAATAAGCTTTTTACGTTAAGCAGTTTAAGCAGAATCGTGGTTAAGAAATTACACAACTTTTTGGAACACCCTGTATGATTTTTTAAAAAATTTTAAAATAATATGTAAAAAAAACAAATAAATTATTCTTGTCCAAGCGTTTTCCCGAAAGACTAACCGTTTTTTAAGTAACAAATATTGTAATATTTGAGGGGCATTTTTACCCTCTTGGAATTTGAGATTCGAAAAACCTTTCCTTATCGAACCTCTATACCCCACAGTCAATCCATTTGCCAAAAATCAGCTTTAAACGTCAAGCAGTTTAAGCAGAATCGTGATTACTCAATGGTCATATTTTATAAAACACCCTGTATAAATTTATAAAAAATCTTAAAATATGTAAAACAACAAAATAAAATATACGTGTTTAAGAGTTTTTTCGAATAACTCACCGAGTTTTAAATAAAAAATATTTTAATATTTGAGGGATAGTTTGACCTCCTTAGAAATCGAATTTCGAAAAATCCCTTCTTATCGAACCTCTACACTCTACACCCTAAAGTCAATCTGTTTTCCAGAAATCAGCTTTTTACGTCAAGCGCTTTAAGCAGGATCGTGATTAATCAATGACCAGATTTTACGAAACACCCTGTATACATTTTTAAAAAATCTTAAAATATGTAAAAAAACAAAATAAAATATACGTATTTAAGCGTTTTTTCGGAAACTTGACCGTTTTTTAAATAAAAAATATGGAACCCTCCTGGAACTGGAATTTCGAAAAATCCCTTCTTATCGAACCTCTACACCCTAGAATCAACCTGTATGCCAAAATTGAGCTTCTTACGTTGAGTGGTTTGAGCAGGATCGTGATTAATCAGTATGTCAGTCATTTAAGGATTTTATATATTATACAGGGTTCGGCAATAGTGCGTCGGGCATCTGTAGCTCCTAGAATAAAAAACTTGTGAATTCAAGTGCAAACCTAAAGTATGTATAAGGATGTATTTCAGGAAAATATTTTAACTTCTATAGGGTGACTCAAAAAAGTGTGAGTGGATCTGGATGATTTTTTTTAAATGGAAAACCCTGTATATTATTGCATTTTTGGCTTCCTTTCAGATCACTTTACATAATCCTAAGACGTGAGTAAATATATTTCGATAATTTCAGAGATATTAATAAATAAATAAAAATTATATATTTTTCAGCCTTTCTTAAAAAAATTATTAATAATACAAGAACTGTCCTGAAATCAAACCTATATTAGGTATTTACTGTAGATAGTCTGTACTTAACTTTGCTATAAATATGGAAATCGTAAATCATACAGGATGTTCAAAATTTCTACGCCAAACTTTCTAAAATATAAAATAATTTTTCTTCGTTTTTTTAAATGGAACACCCTGTAGATTATGCTTTCAGTAGATGGGGAATTAAAAAATGAACATTCTTTGTATTTAGAGTATTTTAAAAATTTTAACGGTTTCGCAGATATTCGCGGTTTTATATGTCATATGGCATTATCCACAGTAAATTTTTATCAAAGCCACCCAGTGATTTTTCTCGGGTATTTTACCATTGAAAGCGCCATATGAAATAATACTGCGTGTATCTGCAGAACTATTAAAAATTTTGAAATACTTTAAATTCAAAAAATGTTTATTCTTTAACTCTCCATCCAATAAAAAAATAATATACAGGGTGTTCCATTTGAAAAAACAAAGAAAAAGTATTTTATATTTTAGAAATTTTGGCGTAGAATATTGAACATCCTGCATGATTTACGATTACCATATTTATAGCAAAGTAAGAACAGACCATCTAAAGTAAATACCTAATATAATTTTGATTTCAGAACAGTTCTTGTATTTTTAATAATTATTTTTAAGAAGGGTTGAAAATATATATTTTTGATTTATTGATTAATATCTCTGAAACTATTGAAAAATATTTACTCATATCTTAATATTATGTAAAGTGATCTAAAAGGAAGCCAAAAATGCAATAATATACAGGGTGTTCCATTTAAAAAAAATCATCCAGATCCACTTACACTTTTTTGAGCCACCCTATAGAAGTTAAAATATTTTCCTGACATACATCCTGGTACATACTTTAGGTTTTCACTTAAACAAATTTCACAATTTTTTTATTCTAGGAGCTACAGATGCCCGACGCACTATTGCCGGACCCTGTATATTTTATATAGATTATGAAATTTAAACTACAAAAAATCTATGTTATTAAAGATAAGGTACTTTAATTTTCATTATAAGATCTTATTTCCGATACAAAAATTAATGAATTATTTTTTTTTTAATCCTCTACCCCTCGTCAGAGATTTTACATATTTTTTTTTTTTTGGTTTCTTTAATATATTATGTACATAATGTCAGTTTTGATTTTTTTAATTACAAATATAAAGCAAAATAAATGAACAGAAAATATTACCCATGTTAACAAATAACTTGCGTATTGCGTAGTCAAGGAGTGATTTATGTGAACGCATCACGTCTCAAGTTCAGAAAATCACAGTTATATACTAAAAGTTGTATAATTTTTTTTATATAACTTTTTTTATATTAACTCTTTAACTTAATACTTAAAAAATCATGATATCGTACTTCTGCAACGCTATTTAAACGAAAAACGTGCAATGAAAAGAAATGTATTTGTACGGATATGGAATATGCCATTTGATTTAGTCCCCAGATTTTTGAAGGGCATAGTTCGGAAACCATAAGTCCGGGAACAAAAATATGTAGAATCATTTTTGTAGAGAATTTTGTCAGATTTATTTTTATATACAGGGTGGTCCGAACTGTATTCGGGAAACTTCGGCAGCATATTCTGCAGATAAAAATAAGTAAAAAAGTTCATTTAAATATATGTCCTAAACTGCTTAGTTTCGGAGATACGGGGTGTAGAAATTTCATTTTTATATCTATTTCTTTTTCAAATAATTCCTGAAAGAACGTCAATATTTGGATGAAAATTGGTATCTGGGGGTTTTTTGACATCATGAAAATTTTTATTTTGATGTCAGTATCACTCCTATTTGTAGGGGGCGCCACCTACTTGTGTTTTACTGTTTTGAAGAGTAATAACTTTTCGTCCGTACCTGTATAAAACTACTGGGTGAAAATATGTACATTTCCGTGACTTTTTACGTAAAAAATGTCTCGCTAAAGTAAAAAATCGATACGAGCAACCGTTCTCAAGATATTTAGAATGGAAATAGTCAATCCATGTCATTATTGACAAAAAATAAACGCGTTGAGTAGATAGTTATTCGACTGAAATAATAAATTTGGAAAATTTTTATTATTTTATATTAATCATAATTTTTTCTAAGTGAAAAATTGACATTTAACTCCTCCCCACTCCTTGAGCTCATCATCTATCTTCGGGGACTTTTGACACATATCAGCCCCAGTCTAGAGGAATCGTTTAAAACCATTTTCAAAATTGTGGGAATTTTTTTCCACCAATGCAATAGGCCTTTTTTAACTAATTTGACTGGGTACTGTATTAATACAGATATGTATTTGGATTACAGGAGATGAATGGAAGTTTACCAGGAAGAAGTTAACTCCCACATTTACTTCGGGAAAGATGAAAATGATGTACGAAATCCTGAGAGACAAGACTACATATTTGACAGAAATGATTGGCGACATTACCAAATCTGGAGAACCCTTCAAAGTTAAGGACACTCTTGAAAGGTTTACCACAGATGTTATAGGTATTCTTTGGGCTATAACTATTTTATCAAATGTAAATCTCTGGACGTTTTAGGCACCTGTGGCTTTGGACTGGAATGCAACTCGATGAAAGATCCAGAATCTGAATTCCTGAAAAACGGAAGGAGCATATTTCAGGGACCTGATAAAAAACCTGGAGTTGTACAATTGATACTCAGAGCTACTCAGTTTGGGAGAACCAAGTTGAAACATATCCAAATCGAGAACTTTTTCAAGAAAGTTGTTAGTGAAACCATTCACTACAGGGAGACCAATAAAATAATCCGGTAAAACTATAGTTTAACTTATAGTTCCTTTTAGTTCTATAATATTTCGTCTTTTTTAGTCCTGATTTTATGCATCTGATGATCCAACTGAAGAACCAGGGTCATGTAAGCGAAGATGACCAAATTTTTACCACTAAAAATCCAAACAAAGCAGACGCAATGACCGAAGAAGAAGTCACAGCACAATGTTTACTGTTTTTCATTGCTGGGTAAAACAATAATACTAATACATTTTTCATGCAACTGATGACATTACAATTTTTAGGACCTAATTTAGATATAAATTTGAATATTTTAAATTAACGCTCTTTCCAGGTGTAACCTTCTATAAAATATCTTCTACCATCATAAAATATATTCTACCATAGTTTATCCACATATACAGGGTGAGTCTTAAATAAGTGCAAATATTTTCAGGGCTGGTAGATCTCGATGAAAGAAATATACTTACTGATATACTCTTTACCGATTTTCAAAGAAGTCCAAAATAATCGAGATATTTTACTTTGAAAATTTCACACCTCTACTTTTCAACCAATAACATGCTTTAATGTTGACTAGTTACCATGGCAACTGAAAAAATTTCCGGAAATTTTTTCGAGGCGCCACGAAACTTTAGTGGAAATTTTTTGACAGTTGAAAAGGTAAACATAAGATCTACAATCATAATGTGAATGAACTACAATGTCTATATATTGAAATATTACCCATTTGAGTTTTAGCATTTGATGTAACTAAGGTTGGTAATATCTTTTATTTAAGGAAATATGTTAGATATACCTACATATGAATTTCTTCGAAATTGCCATGTTCTAAAAAATATAGTTCTGCCGCCTTTATTTAACTAAAGCTGGTATTTTTCTATTTAACGAAATATGATGGATATACACTTGATTTTGATTTTCGGGTGTTATCTGGTTTTATATTTTCAATTTCTTCTTTAATGACTTGTTGGTTTACTTTTCCAAATCGCGACATTTCGCTATACACTTCTTACTCTACGTACAGACGTTTTAAAACTAGTAATAGCTTAATGACAGAACCGCAAACAAAAATGACAAAACACATAATATGTCAAAAACATCAATACCTTGGCCAACTTAACAAATTGAAATTATTTTAAAATGTCATGTTGGATTAATATTTTTTTTTCAAATTTAGGTGTGAAATTTTCTTACCGAATACCACGCAAGCTTAAATTATTCCTGGAAATTTTCTTGTGATATTATAAGTGAAAATTACAAAAAAAAATATTTTTCACTTACATTTTGAAAGTCGCTGGATCTTTTCTAAATTTTCTTATATATTTAATCTATTACCTATGTTGCCATATTATGAAATATTACGTTTTTTAATTAAAAATTAAAAAAATTCTAATTTTTTTTCTCAAAAAATTTCAAATTTTCAAAAAGATTTTTTCGCGAAAAACCTCATGGACTATATAAAATATAATAGATAAAAATATTTGCACTTATTTAAGACTCACCCTGTATATGCTGATATGTATGGAAACGGTCGAGTATTTGGTAAAATCTACGAGATACCGCAAAAAATTAAATATAAAAGTTATAGGGTTTTTAAATGTCTATTAGCGGGTAATAAATTTAAGTATAGAGGGTCGGTCATAAGGTCGTGGCATATAAAAGTTTCATTTTTTTAAATGGAACCCCCTGTATATTATTGCATATTTCGGTTCTTCCTTCGATTCTAAGCAAAAATCGCGATACACACAATGTACCTCAAACCAACCGTTTCCAAGCTATTGACTTTTGAAAATATCACTTAAACAATAATTCGATTTAATTAATATCGATGTGTTTGGTTGCATTTAACGATACCATTGTGAGGAAACTGTTATCCTTAATATAATATTTGACATTAGTTTTCAAGTTAGCATTTATATATTTATAAAACGAGATTATATCAAGTTTAGAAATTATAAAATTTTCGTTAACATTTCAAAACCAAAACATGATATCTCGGAAACAGTTGGATTTAGGTACATTACATTACATGTATTACAATTTTTGCTTAAAATTGAAGGAAGAATTTAAATACCTAATAATATAGAGGGGGTTCCAAAAAATGAATCTTTGGGGTGCCATGATTTTATGCCCAACCCTGTATATTTAAATTATATACAAGATGTTAGGCATTTAAAAACCCTATAACTTTTGTATTTAACTTTTTGTGGGACTTAGTATACTTTGACCAATAATTGACCGTTTCCATACATAGCTTCTGTTATATTAACATATCATACAGTTTATAACTCATCAGACATGGGGATTTTCCTGTTGTATGAGGGGATAAGATATTTCCCATCGTCCTCTGAAAATAAACGTTCTTCCTCCGAAGGCACCCTTCCACGGTTTCAGTGTGGCCCATGTGTGGCCTTTCGTGCCCTTCACAGTCGAGGAGCTTGTCTCCGGCTGAGGTACCCGTGAGGTAGAGGCTGGAGGATCTATTTCCATTTTCTCCACCTCTTTAACTTGGTCTCTCCTTAGACCTGATACCAGTGTTGTCTCAAATCTATAATAGAGGGTATATCCCTCTTTCTCTATTACCTCCTTGGATTTGAAGTCAATTCCTATTTGAGAACCTGACCATGGCCCATGGCCCTCCTTTACCGAGTTGATGATCGGTGTTGGATGGCTTTCCATACTTGCTTTTTTCTCTCCTTGCCAGAGTAGAGGTGAAAGGTTCTCGCTCCCTCTCTTGTCTTTTGATGAAGATGCGCCAGGCTCTTTCTTGGTTCCTGTACTCTCCCCTTTTTCGAGGAGCGTTTCACTTTTGCTTCCTCTGAAGAAAATCCTTCGTGGAACAGAGTTGTAGAAACGAACGAGTCGCATTGTGATCTGATTTAATTCTTACGACTCGTTCGTTCAAATTTTTTTGAATCCGTGCTGGCCACGATTCAAATGAACGAACCATATTCTAAGCGGTGAATGGAATCTCACGATTCATTTTTAATACTCGTTCAAGTGAACGACCCTTTCAATCTTTCCCCATCTTTAGTGTGGACTGCGTTTAAGAAACGTTTAATAAACCTGTTGCGTGAAGAACCCTGTATTGTTTTTAGTTTTTATATAATTTATTTTGATTTTTATGTTGCTAGATTTGAAACATCGGCAACCACCATGACCTACGCCCTGTTAGAATTAGCTCAACACGAGGATATCCAGGAAAAAGTGAGAAAGGAGGTTAAAGAAGTTTTGGAGAAGCATAATGGAGTGATGACGTACGAAGCTATGCTGGATTTGAAGTACACCGAGAACGTTATACAAGGTAAATATCAGCTCAGGGACATAAGTAAATGTAAAAAAAACAAGATTACTGATGATAGCGAGACTGTATACAAGACAATAAATTGTAGTAACCGCTACCACCATGGAGAATGTAAAATGTATGGGAGGGGAGAGGAGTTAATCATCGCAACCTTACAGCTCTATTGCTTCCCCCTTTCTGGAGTTATAACTCATTAAGCAGGCTCATGGCTTTGACAAAAGCCAGAATCTGAGACTGTTTTACCGAGGTTAGTTCTCCCATATCAGTCGTACCAAATTTCATGGTTTGTAGGCCTCGGCGCACGCATCAATGATAAGGTGTTCTGGTGTTTCTTCATTTTCCCCACAGAATCTGCATTCGCCCTTGTTTCTTAACTTCAATCTATTGAGGTGTTCGTTGAGGAGATAAATGTCCTGTTAAAAAACCCTTGACAATCCCAAGATTGTTCTTGGTTAAATCAAGGAAAATTTTCTCGGTTTCTCTGAGAAATTTCTTCGAATCCCCTTGGTTCGGAGTATTTAGTTTTCGACCCAAATACTCCTGTCCCTGTTTTGATTTGTGAAGCATTAGTATGCCACGTTAAGGTATGCTCTTTTACCTGCTAAGTAAACGTTTCTCTCTTCCAATCCCTTATATTGATCAATGCCGATACCCATCCGGATATCCATTGTTGACTTTGATTGTTGATGTTGGCCTCATGTCCTCATGTTGGCTTGCGTCGAGGCAAACGTTTTCCCAATGTGCGTAGACAAATTATCAATTATCTGGCTAATACGTGCGCCAGCGTTAGCCAACGTGCGTATTAGCTAACGTACTATGACCAGCGTGTAGAAGACTCATTGGACTACAAGATTCAAGGACTCTTGGTATTGGTCTTGGTCTTACATTTGCTCACCACTATTTAAATTACATTTAATTTGTTAATGCTATTATCTCCGATTTGTCTACATTTTGGAAAGTTCAAACAGTTTTTTTTAATGTTTAAGAATTAATTTCAATATTATTACTATTATTAGGTACATAATGAAAATCTTATATCTAAACTTTCAGAGACTCTAAGAAAATATCCTCCAGTTGCAGTTGTACCTCGAGTCTGTACTAAAGATTACAAGATTCATGGTACAGACATAATCATTAAAAAGGGTACGCCTACCTTTATATCAGCGTGGGGTCTACACAAAGATCCAGAATACTTCCCTAATCCTGAAAAATTCGATCCAGAAAGGTTCAACCCAGAAAACAAGCATAAAATTCGAGATTTTAGTTATATACCATTTGGGGAAGGACCTAGGATGTGCTTAGGTACGTATTGTACACATTTTATTCGCAAGTTTAAATATAATCCCAATATTTCCTACTTTATGACAAATGGCAAAGAATACGATTTTTTTAGGGCTTAGATTTGGAATGATGCAGAGTAAAATGGGTTTGGCGACGCTTATCCGGAACTACAGGGTAACGTTGAATAAAAAGACTTTCTTTCCTTTGAAATTAAAGCGATTCACTTTCATAACTACACTAGACGGTGACCTATGGTTAAACGCTGAAAAGGTTTGATAAAAATTTTGGTTGATAAATATCCAATTATCTCCATATGTTTTTTTTCAGATTTGAATATGTAGTGTAGATCAATCTGTTAAACCAATAGTAGCGTAGTGACTGTAGTGGATACCAAATTTTTCCATGCATGTATAATTTATTTAAAACATTTATTTTTAATAAAAGTTTTTGTTATACAACTGTATTTCTTTAACTCTGAGTATTCTCTAGCATAAAAACGGTATTAATTGTCCTCAATCTCCCGAGCATTTATTTTTTTAATGCAAAACAGTCTTATCCGAACAAACAGTGTATCGTTTTGATGCCTCTAAAAGGCATTAAAAAGAAAAAACACTTTTATTTCACGTTCCTATAAGTGCCTACCTGTTTACCTCGGCCCTCGACAATGTGTGTGTCACAGCACCCAGTGTCCCTTTTTATCCCTCTCGAGGCGTTCTGGATGTTCTCTGTTCTCTGCGCGCCAATGGAGGGCTTAGAAGGGCCTGAAGGATCCGCCCTGCCTCGGGCTACGCGGGGGGTGAAGATAAAATAAGCCCCAGGGACGTAACGACGATATTTTGAACTTGGGACAAATCGAAAATATTTTCAAAAACGTATTCGCTGGTTATACAGGGTGAGTACACAACGATAAAGTTCATTATCTCGTTTTCAGAATTACGACAAAATGTTAAATGGAAAAATTTTAGGAAATGTCGAGATACACATATACTATAGAGGGTGATTCACGGCAATGGCACATTAAAAGTTTATGGACAACAGGTGATAGAATTTTTTGGAAAATTTGGATTTTTACGTAAAGGCACCTGCTCCATCTTTCTAAAACATTTTCAGCATTACAGTGTAGCCGCATCATTTGAAAAGTAGTAGCATCTTTCTTATTTTAAATGGAACATCCAGTATATTATGACATTTTTGCAAACTACTCATATCTAACGATATTATAATATTCCTATACCTAAACCTTCCAGTTTCTTAAGTAGAGTTATTTAAAATTAATAATTCTATGATTGTAGTTTCATTTTAGTAATTTCGTTACCATGAAAATTTTAAAAATTTAGCACCTAAACTCTAACCCAGCTCTAACCTATGACTCTAACTGATACTTATAAAGTTTGAATATTTGTCATGGTAAAGATTTTCTTTAAACGAAATAATTATAAGAGAATTATTATCTGTTAAATGGCTTTACTGAAGAAACCAGAGGGTTTAGGTATAGGAATAATATCGTTGAATTTATTAACATTTGACAGTAACACAATGACATGCATACAGGACTTCCAAGCACTCCAAGTCGCTGAAATTAATAGAACCTAGCGCAAATAGAACCTCATCTGATGAGGAAGGAAAAGATGAACGCCTAAGCAGAAATATCTGACGGCACCTCAAGACGAAGAAGAGATTAATAAAAATCGACAAGATATTAAGACACAACTTTTAATCGGCATTAAACGGTATATACAATTTTGCTAACAATAGAAAAAAAGGCAGTGGCGCACATTTTTGTTTTAATATTCCAGTGATAACCCATATATGTACGTTCTTGGTAAATCTGTCAACACTTTTTTAGCATTAAAATATGTAGCACTTTCAGTAATTTTTACCGACAAAATTTCATTAAAATCACTAAAAGCATTTGGAAGAAAATTAGAATAAATCGAAAAAAAGACTTTATAACGTGCGTGAGGAGTAATTTTTGCGTGAGGAGTCAGAAGACACATGTTTTGTGCAACGTCCTGTATACATTACAATTGGGGGTTGGAAACATTGGTGTTACAACAGCAAAATAGAACAAAAATCTTAAAACACTTTTGAGTTTTAACTATCTGTTGATGATGCTAACATGGTTAGCAAAACGCGCGTCCAGTGCAAAAGTAAAGGTGTTTTGTTGTATTGTGGTAAATCATTGTTTTATTTTGCTTTTATTTTACCCTGTATACATAACAAAACCATAAGGAGTCATTGGCAAAACCGAAGCCCAAAAAAAAATTTTGATCAGAATAATGAATGTACAAAAAATTATTTTTCTCTAACTTGAACACGCTGTATCTTAAAGGAAAACAAGATTGGAGAATGTCGTAACGAAGTCCAATTTGACCAGCCATTGGATAAACGGATTTTAGGGTCATCCGCTTCGTAAGTCGTCCTGAAAACGACCAAAAAGGGACAGAAACTGATCTTATTTCCCGCCCTTGCGCCATAATAAATTCTACTGCAAATAGGAAACGAAATTGTCGATGAAAGTGGTCCCAACTTGCCTTTTTTTCTACTAAACGCCTTAGATTCGCTTGGAGAAGCTCGTTGTCGTCAAAAAATTGGTTTATATCCGAGATTTTTATGTTTTAAATTAGAAAAATTATTTTAGTGTGTTGAAACATATTTTGTAATTATTTGTTATTTTTCAGCTGTGTTAAATAATAGTTATTTTTTATACAAGACGATAAAATGGTATTTTATCGTCGATCGAAAAGATTTTAAAAAATATTCAGAAATTATTATTTCAAGGAATTTATTACGAGTAGAAAAAATATTGTGCTGGCTTGGCGTTGGTTTCTATGTAATTTGACAAATAAATAAAGCCGTCTCATGGCTCATAGAAGATTATTTTCTTTTATCTATGCTCATGGCTGTCTCTTTAGTTGTCAGTTTTGAGTCAATTTTTTAATTCTCTTTCGTATCGATTGCTGATTGAATTGTAGCCAGAAATGGCTCAAAACGAAATAAGTAAATTACCAACAGATATTCAGGCTGAGGCAACAAACGCCATATCCAAACGACTTTCATTTAAATCCCGAATAACTTATGAAAAGGAATACAAAAATTTTCAAAAATGGAAGCAATTAAAAAACGTGCGAGAAGAAATAAGGTTTTTAACCTACCCTCGCTGTTAAAGTATCATTTTAGGGTGTATTCCGTTGCTTACCTTGGTTATGGTTTTATGTTTCGTTTCTATCGGTTTCCTGAAAGTTTTCTTATTACGGAACACGATTCCTGAAAAATTGTGTTATAACTGTCATAAAATAATAAATACAAGAATAACTGTCACCAAACTAACCAGCGCGAAAAGGCTTATTTTTCTGGTTTTGTTTGTCAAACAATGTCATTCATGTGACAGAAATCAAGTAAATATTGGAAGTTCGAGTGAAATTCTCATTTAATTTCTAAAATTTGTAATAATGTTATGTACTTACATCCAAAAGCAATGGAGATAGGCAGTAAAGGTAAATAAATTTCATTAACTAAATAGAATTACTTTTTAGGACCATTTAAACTTATCATGCAGCCATTGTTTCTTAAAGTCAGGAAGATTTAAAGAAAACATGAAAAACAAGACAACAAGTAATCGTGAATGTTTTGTAAGCTATAAAAATATAAATGTTGATTAGATTTGTTTGTTTATTATTGATCTGTTTTAATATTGGACCTGCAAATCTTCACTTGAGCTGTCTAACGAGTTTAACAGTTTATTAATAAAGTACTTTTATATCATATCAAACTCCATTGAAAAGAAAAAGCAAACGTAAAAGCAGAGAATCGGTACATTAAAAATGCATAAAAGATAAATTTTATAATAAAGATATTGAAATTTAGAAAACGTCAACATTTGACGTTTCCAGTATTTTACCAAACCAGTTTTTCAGGAACCGCTCTTTACCATAGTTTACCGGTCTGGTTCGCCTGGTTTTGCAACGGAATAACGGAATACATAAATACCGTAATAATACAATAAATACCTTAATCTATCCTTGTGGTTAAAGTACTAACGTAAAGTACTACTAATCTACTATTTTTGATAGATATAAGATGGATATAAGGCAATTTTAACATAGTTGCTATGGGAAAAATACATTTTTTTATTGTTGCTGTTTCTCGATTTTTATCGGTAAGTATCAAAATTGTTGAGGGAGAATTCAATCCAACCGAACAATTCTACAGCGATAGAAACTTTCTAACTAGTTGTGACATGTTTGGAAAATAGCGGCCTTTTGAATTGAGAGGCCTTTTGGCAAATCTATCGCTTCCAGATTAGTTTTTAATCTTTTCGTGGCAACACCTTCAACGGAAATTACTACAGGCTTCTACAATCTTCACAGAATTTAGATTCCACGAGCGTTTTAGTTCGAAGGCAAGATTTTGTAATTTAACAGATTTTTCCTGCTCTACTGTTTGGATGTTATAAGAGAAATTATGATAATACCAATCTCAATTATAGACGCCATCTTATTGACTTATCGATTAATATATAACTATCCCATACAGCACATCAAATCACATTTACGATGTGTTTACATTATTAGATGTAGACACAGGGTGACACAATTCCCCCGATGTAAATATGATACGTTTACACATTGTAGTTCAACACGTATGCACAAAGGTTAAACGTCCGCCTCACAATGTAGCCACAGTATAGCATTTACGTATACACAAAGTAAGGGATACACAGTGTGCCGTAGGATACACAGTGCTTGTGTATTACGTTTAAACTCTGTTTACACATTGCAGTTGTGACTACTGCGTGTATATGTATGTATTTTGCTTCGTATGTACATCTTGTGCTAGATAAAACTACTTCTTATGAACGAATTTAGGAAATAATACAAGTTTTGATGCCTAAATTTTCGTTCTTTTTAAGAAATATTTATTCAATGATACCAATGAAATTTTTTTAGAACGAAAATAGGAAGGCAAAACTTTGTATTTTCCAAAAGTATCTCGATCGTAAGTTCAAGAGAAGTAGCCTTAAAATTGTTCCATTTTTGTTTTGCATTAAATGTACCATTTTTTTCCATAAACGGATTAAGTGGTTAAAAATAAAATTCTTATATTTCTTTATATCATGGAACGCATTAGCGCAAATAACACAATAATAATTATTATTTACATTGCAGAAACCAGAAGTAAGAAAGCACTATAAAAGAACAGAATTTGTATCAAAATGTATTAAAAATATAAGTACCTAGTATAACAACATACTAAAATGGTAAACACTGGTATATCGCGACGATTTGGTGGATCTCGTTTAGTCATTTTCTTCTCTTCTTTTCCCTCCAAGCAGTTGGTTTGTTAGCATACTCATTCGTCGAAATTAACAATCTCAGATTGACAATCTTACCCTTAAATTTTATATGAAACTGATTATTGAATATTAAACATACCTGTATATTGATCCATCAAT